CACCCACGCGGCCGCGCGACATCTTATTATCTCATTTCTACTTTGGACAAACTTGCAGGCTATCGAATGTAGCCTGCCCACAGGGCAGAGTCTGGCAAACTCCCCGTGGCTTACCAAATATGCCAAATACCAGTAACAATGATGGGTCTCATTCTCCTAAAGAGCCGTGAATATAATCTCAGGGCTAGGATGAAATAGATGTTACTGGGGCCTGCTCGAGGCAATCGACGATTAACAGGATGATGAAATGAAATGAAATGAAATGAAAAGCTAGGGGAAGCAGAGCACAAAGGAGAAGTTAAAGATGAATACCGAGTACTTAGGGAGCACTGTGATGGGTGTTGCTCCTTGCAGAGGACAAGAAAGGGCTAGCTAAAGTTATCCAACAGATCACATGCAAGATAAGTTCTAGATAATAGCACCTACTACACTATCTCTCTGACCCAAGTTTTAAATGTTTATGGTGTCTTGCAGAAGATCTTACTTCTTATTCACCAATAGCTACTAAAATCTGAGTTGACAGTTTGTTTCTTGGCTTGTTATGTTTGTTTTATTTCTTGGGGACTACATTGAGTAGTGCTCAGGGACTATTGCCAGCTCTGTGCTTGGGGGTTGCTCCTGGCAGTGCTGGGAGACCATGTGGTGCCAGCAATCAAATCTGGCTTCTATATGCGAAGCATGTTCTCCAGTTCATTGTGCCCTTAGATACTGGGAATTACAATTATTTCATTGTCTCCCTGTTGCCTCCCACACAGAAGATCTCAGAGGTGTTAGGGGCCGGGAAGGTTCCAAGTTGACAGTTTATCATTCCCTTGCATGAGGAAAGACCAAACACTCCAGTAGGGAATTTATTACAGGTGCCCTTAGTGACAACCTTAGTCTAAAGAAGGGGTTGTCAAAGTTTGTTCTGGTATGTCCCTCAATTATGTTATTAGGAGTATTTAAAGTCATTCGAAATTTTAAAAGCTCCCCAGGATTCAAATAGAAGAAAAAAATAAGACCCTTTAGTCTACAGGTGGGGTTTTCTTGGTATGATCTCAAATGAGCAATATCAGCACCTTGTGAAATATGGGTAGCACTGTAGCACTGTCCTCCCGTTGTTCATCGATTTGCTCGAGCGGGACCACTAATGTTTCCATTGTGAGACTTGTTGTTACTGTGTTTGGCATTTCGAATACATCACAAGTAGCTTGCCAGGCTTTGCCATGCGGGAAAGATACTCTCAGTACCTTGCCAGGCTCTCTGAGAGGAACAGAGTAATTGAACTCTGGTCAGTTAGGTCAGCCGCTTGCAAGGAAAACGCCCTACCCTCTGTGAGATATGGGCAGAAAATATAAATTCTCAGGGCTGAAGTGATAGCACAGCAGGTAGGGCATTTGCCTTGCATGCAGCTGACCCAGATTCGATTCCCAGCATCCCATAGGGTCCTCTGAGCACCACCAGAGTAATTTCCTAGTGTAAGAGCCAGGAATAACCCTTGTGCACTTCCAGGTGTGATCCAAAATGCAAGCAAAAAAAAAAAGCAATCTATTTGGGGCTGGAGCTATCATACAGCTGATAGGGCATTTGCCTTGCACTCGGCTAGCCAAGGTTTGATCCCCAGCATCCTATATGGTCCCCTGAGCACCGCCAGGAGTAATTCCTAAGTGCAGAGCCAGTAGTAACCCCTGTGTATCGCCGGGTGTGATCAGAAAAGCAAAAAAAAAAAAAAGATACCACCCCAAACCTATTAAATGAGAAACTGGAATAGGTCCCAGCAATCTGCATTTCAACTAGAAACATAGGTAATTGTTATGCCCTTAAGTTTGGTTCTTAAACTTACATGTGATTATGATGAATATGTTAAGCTCAAGTGTAAGAACTGGTCTAGTCCAGGGAGAGAGCTCAAACGGCTCACGTGCTTCACATTTAAAAGACCTGGATCACATTTGATCCCCATCACTGCAAGCCACCCCCCCCACACCCCCCGCATCACAAGTGACCCTCAGCAGACCAGAATTCTTGGAAACTCAGTTATCACTGAGTTTTAAACTTCATTTTCATGATACAAATAGCTATGGAAAGTAAATGTTTATATACTTACATAAAATATGTCCTCTCAATAGGGAATAATTTGTGCCAATCAGAAAGGACAAGAAATTAAACCCGGCTCCATGGGGAAAGGAGTAGAACCATATGATGTCCAGGTGGGTTGAAAACATATGACTAGTTTAATAAAGAAGAGAGAATGTTCTTATTTCCTGGCATACTTATATAATTACTCATTACCTGGTTTGTTTGTTTGTTTGTTTGTTTGTTCTTATATTTATTTATTGAATCACTGTGGGAAAAGTTACAAAGCTTTCAAGATTAATTCTTGGTAATGCAATGATCAAACACCTTTCCCTTCACCAGTACTTATTTTTCACCACCAAGAACCCCAATATACCCCCATCCCACCCCTCCCAATGCCTGTGAGGCAGATGATTTCTACTTAACTCTCTCTACTTTGATTACATTCATTGTTTTGATAACAGATGCACCATCATTTAGAATTTCCCCTCAACAATCAGAACTGCTGAAATGGCATTGTGAAATAATTTGTTTTCTATAGCTGGTTATGAGAACCATATGATGTTGTGCGGCCGCTATCGCTATCGCGGCCACTAGATTTTGAATTTCTGAAATTTTACTAGGTAAATCTGGAGGGATTTCTGCAAAGAGCCAGATAATTACGAGATTGGTTTCTGTGCATCTGGAGCCATGGCCATGCCAGAGAACCGCTCTTGGGGGGCAACTCATGACCTCAGTAGGGCATGAAGAACGAGCCGGTACTACCCCCCTTCTCATGAGACTGCAGTTGCCCCGTCACCGCTGGCTCATACCTGGCTTTCCAATAAGCTTTGAGGCGGCGGTCACCTTGCTGCTGGGGGCAGGAAAAGGCGGAAGGGCGCAACATCTTGTTTATTTTTTGTGGGAAAAGAAATAAGAACTAAAAACATTTCTTTTATCCTAGATTATAGATGAAAATGGCAACATTCTACCAAATGGCAAAGAAGGGGAAATCGCCCTCAGACTAAAATCAACACGACCTTTCTGTTTCTTCTCTGAATATGTGGTATGAGAATTAGAGTTCACTACTCACATTTTCATTGTTTTTCTTTTCTTTTCTTTAGGCAGAGGGAAGGGTGGGGGTGGGGGGAGGTACACTCTGCTGTGCTCAGGGATCCTTCAGTCTCTGCACTCAGGGATCACTCCTGGCAATGAACAGGGAACCATATGGGATGCCAGAGATTGAACCTAGGTCAGCTGCATGCAAGGCCCTTACCTGCTGTACCATTGTTCCACACACCCCAATTCACGTTTTTGGGTTTTGGTTTCTTTTTTTTTGCCTTTTGGGTCATACCCAGCAATGCACAGGGGTTACAACTGGCTCCTCACTCAGGAATTACTCATGGTGGTGATGGGGGGACCATAAGGGGTGCCGGGGATTGAACACGGGTCACCCGCATGCAAGGCAAACAGCCTACCCCTGTACTATTGCTCCAAGCCTCCCGTTCACATTTTTTTTTTTTTTGCTTTTTGGGTCACACCCAGCGATGCACAGGGGTTACTCCTGGCTCTGCACTGAGGAGTTACTCCTGGCGCTGCTCAGGGGACCATATGGGATGCTGGGAATCGAACCCGGGTCAGCCGCGTGCAAGGCAAACGCCCTACCCGCTGTGCTATCTCTCCAGTCCCTCCCATTCACATTTTAATAGAAAAGGTGATAGGTACTGTAAGACACATACAGACTTAGTTTTAGCTTCAAATCCACCATGTTTTGCTATAAGTCACAAAGTTCAAGTTTATTTCTTCAGCTATAAAATAGACTAACCACTGTCTCCTACAAGTTTCCTAAGTGTGAGATATTGATTGTAGTGATTGTTCTAAAAAGAGAACTAGGCAAGTTGTGAAGCTTGGTGAGATGTAGACAGGGGATGATACAGGTAGAAGAAAAGCTAGCTTTTTAAAAATATTCTTGGTCAGTACTAAATTTCCTGTAAAATAGAAAATACGATCTACTAGTTAGTTTGTGGAAGGAGATCCCTTTTTCTATTCTGACCAAGTTAATCCTAAAATGTCATCTTTGATTTCTAGGATAATCCAGAGAAAACTGCTGCCACAATGAGAGGGAGTTTTTATGTCACTGGAGACAGAGGAGTAATGGACAGTGACGGGTATTTATGGTTTGTTGGCCGAGCTGATGATGTCATCATTTCTTCTGGGTTTGTACATTTGCAATCAGAAGTAACAACTCACCAGAGATTTCCTTCTTGGATGGTGGAGTAATAAAAGGCTTCTTTTCCTCTTCCAGGTACCGTATTGGCCCATTTGAAGTGGAGAGCGCACTTATTGAACACCCAGCCGTTGTTGAATCAGCTGTTGTCAGTAGTCCAGACCCAATCCGAGGAGAGGTAGAGTGAATGGCACTGAGGGAGCAATTCCATAATTTCAAGTTTAGTTTATCTGACACTTTAGAATTAATCAAGAACAGTCAGTTTGGGCGATAGAACAGCGGGTAGAGCATTTGCTTTGCACACAGCCAACATGGCCGACCCGAGTTCGATTCCTCCGCCCCTCTCGGAGAGTCCAGCAAGCTACCTAGAGTATCTTGCCCACATGGCAAAGCCTGACAAGCTACCCATGGTGTATTCGATATGCCAAACACAGCAACAAGTCTCACAATGTTACTGGGCCCGCTCAAGCGAATCGATGAACGGGAGGACAGTGACAGTGACAGTCAGTCTGGGCTGGAGAGATAGCATAGTGAGTGGAGAACTTGCCTTGCATGCAGCCAACCCAGGTGCGATCCCCAGCATCACATTTGGTCCCCTGAGCACTGCTAGGGATAATTCCCTAGTGCAGAGCCAGGAGTAGTTCCTTAGCATCACCAGGTATGGCTCCAAAACCAAGGGTAAACAAAAGGTTTATTCTTGTCATGAGGCACACACATGTCCAGAAGTGTCAATCAGATGAAAATGAGTTGAGTTCCAAAGAGGATGTATTAGGATTCTTTTTTGGTGCAAATGACAGAAACTCAACCCAAACTGGTAGGGGAGGGGAAGGGAAAGAGGGATGTTTGGGGCAGAAAGGCAGGTGCTAGGGAGTATGGAATGTATTAAACTGATAAGAACGAATGCTACACTTGATCTTAGCCAAAAGGCCGAGAAGCAAAGGAGTATGGAATGTATTGACTCACATGGAAAGAGGTCTTTAGGGACAGATACCATCAAGGGTTCATATGAAGTTAACAAAATGGTTTGCCTCGATTTATGGAATCTGGTATTCTTTATGTTGGCTCCAATTAGACAGATCCCTCATATTAGAGAGCGGCAGTTTCATACATACACAGATCAACCACTTGAGGGAAGGAGGCTGTTCCTTTCCCAATAGTTTCAAGTTACTTCCAACACTGTATTTGCCTACTGATCAGATCATATCGATCTAATGTGATCTGGAGAATAGTATATGCTAACTAGCTGGCCCAATCCTCAAAGGTAGGAGTACCCAATTACAGGAAGTAAGATGAAAAGGGAAGAAGTCGATGTTGCATCACAAAAGCAGCAGTTTCTATTGTACATTTGCCTTGCAATTCAGAATAAATACATTCTGTCGCAGAAATACAATGCAAATACAAGAGACTGTGACTGGGTTTTCAGTAAGACCTACAAGCTTGCGTAGGATCCAAAGGGGAATTCAGCGATTGACAGAAATAACCTTAGTTTGAAGATGAAACCATATAGCATGAAAGGGAGTTTTCTTATAAAAGTTTCCTTTGGACTCAGAAGGTTACAGAAATTCTGGAACAAACTGTCTAGCAGCATCCTCTCATCAATTTCTGCACCTCCTGTTCACAGATAATAACCTCCTACAGTGGCACTGTGGATGTCATATTCATACCATCTATAATGTACTCCTAAACCTGTACAACCTATGCCATATTTATACCACTCTTATCAATTTCTTCACCTCCTGTTCACAGACAATAACCTACTACAGTGGCACTGTGTATGTCATATTCACACAATCTATAATGTACTCCTAAACCTGTACAACATATGCCATATTTATACCACTCACATTGGATGCTATAGTCCAATAGTATCTATAGTATCTATAGTATCTTATTGGTGGATTGTAAATATTGTGAAGAAAAACAAGATATTAGGCAAGAAAAGAATTTCAAGAGATAGATGGGTCCTTTCTGAGTCTACTGAGCATACACAATCCTTCCTTTATCAGGTTTCCCCAAGTACCTTCAAACTTCCATTTGTCTTCCTATATGCTTCTTGCAGTACAGGTTCTATGGAATTAAGTCGTAAATCAAGGAAACCTGTACAATGAATAGAATTTATCTGATTGAAGTCTCAAATGCATATGTAACATAAAGAACTCAACCTTTAGTTTTACTAAGCTAATGAACTCACACACAAAACTGCTTATCAGGAATTAGATCTCATAACCTCACTATACTTGTATGTCAGCTTTGTTTGGATAATCTCTAGCATTTGCTCATCATTCAAGCTGCTTTAACAAATAAATACATGGGCTCACTATTGGTTTCAAACTCTTGATGTGTCTGAAAAATAAAAGCATTGGGACCAGTGAGGTAGTACAGAGGATGAGGCACTTACCTTGCACATGGGCAACCCCAGTTTGAGCTCTAGCTACTGCATACAATCCCCCAAACACCACCAGTAGTGATCTAGTGATCTAATGAGCACAGAACCAGAAGCAAATCCTGAGGACAGCTGGATGCGGTCCACCACCACCACCCCACTAAAAAAAAGCATTGATATAAATTGTCTTTTCCCTACAGGTAGTGAAAGCTTTTGTCGTCTTGTCTGCAAACTTTCAATCTTCCAATCCAGAGAAACTAACTCTTGAACTTCAGGATCATGTGAAAAAATCAACTGCTCCATACAAATATCCAAGAAAGGCAAGTAATTTGCTTAATGATACTACCACAGTAGGACTTATTAATAGTAAGTATATATAGACTTTTTTTTTTTTTTTTTGCTTTTTGAGTCACACCTGGCAATGCTCAGAGGTTACTCCTGCCTTTCCAATCAGAAAGTACTCCTGGCGGTGCTCAGTGCTTATGGGATGCTGGGAATAGAACACCAGTCGGCAGTGTGCAAGGCAAATGCCCTACCCGCTGTGCTATTGTTCCAGCCCCAGTATATAGTCTTTTTTACAAACAAGGATTTAGTAATACTTTTAAATAAAGATTGGATTTCAATTTCCTAAATCTAGGATCCTACCGATCTTCTGCATGAGCATTTGAGTTTTTTAAAAAATATTTAATTTTAAAAAATTTAAGGCACCATTAATCATTTTCAAAGTTAGTCATCATAGAGTTTCAGGCATCCAATGCTCCACACCAACTCCATACCCATGTGACCTTTCTATCAGTAATGTCCCCAGGATTTCTTTCCCACTCCCCAGCCTGTCTCCTCTGCAGGCACATTTTTTAAAAAAATTTTTTTAATTCAATTTTTATTCGTCAATTGCCTCGAGCAGGTCCCAGTAACGTCTCCTTTGTCCTAGCCCTGTGATTTTTTTAAAAAGTGCCATATTCAAGGCGCTTTCAGAGTTAGGAGAATGAGACCCTTCATTGTTACTGGTATTTGGCATATTGGTACGCCACGGGGAGTTTGCCAGACTCTGCCATGTGGGCAGGTTACATTCAGTAGCCTGCCAGTTTGTCCAAAGTAGGAATGAGATGATAAGATATCCCACGGCCATGAATACGGCTGCACGCTTCCGGGAGCTGAATGTGATAATCTCTGGATCCTGGCCATTGTTGGGGTTACACGGCAGTTGGTGAGTGTAACTGTCTAGCTACTGGCAGGTCCAGTCCCAAACCGTGCAGGCTTGGAGATCTCAGCCCCAGGTCCCACACACCTGGGTTCCTCTGCCAGTTCATCTATGTGTGAGGCTCATGCAAGTGTGTGGAGAGTGGTCCCAGCATGACCTTGGCTGGGGCCCGGAGGTCTTCAGCTGTTGGGTCCTGGTGAGGACAGTCAGGCACAGGGTAGGAGACTCTGCCTTGTTCTCTCCCGGTAGCTGAGTGTGATAATTTCTGGATCTGGCCGTTGTTGGGGTTACACGGCAGTTGGGGGTATAACTGTCTAGCTACTGGCAGGTCCAGTCCTAAACCGTGCAGGCTTGGAGATCTCAGCCCCGGGTCCCACACATCTGGGTTCCTCTGCCAGTTCTTCTATGCGTGAGGCTCATGCAAGTGTGTGGAGAGTGGTCCCAGCATAATAATTTTTATTAGTGAAACACCATGAGGTACAGTTGTAGACTTACAAATTTTTGTGCTTGGGTTTCAATTATACAATGATCAAATACCCATCCCTCCACCAGTGCCCATTTTCCAGTGCCCATTTTCCACCACTACGGGTCTCAGTATCCCTCCCACCCTTCATCCCCTCCATTCCACCCTGCCTCTGTGGCAGGGCATTCCCTTTTGTTCTCTCTCCTTTTGGGTGTTGTGGTTTGCAAAAGAGGCATTGAGTGGCAATCATGTTTGGTCTATAGTCTACTTTCAGCATGCTTCTCCCATCCTGGGAGGATCCTCCCATCATCCTTTATTTGGTGCTCCCTTCTCTATCTGAGCTCCCTTTCCCCCTAGCATGTGTGGCTGGCCTCCAAGCGATGGAGCAAACCTCCTGGTACTAATTTCGGCCACTCTTGGGTGTTACTCTCCCATTTTGTTACTTTATGTTCCCCAGATGAATGCAATCTTTCTATGTCTATCCCTCTCTTTAGGACTCATTTTGCTTAACATGATACTTTCCATGTAGTACCACTTGTATGTAAATTTCATGGCTACATCTTTTCTAACAGCTACATAGTACTCCACTGTGTAGATGTACCAAAGTTTCTTTAACCAGTCATCTGTTCTTGGGCACTCAGTTTTTTCCAGATTCTGGCTATTGTAAAGAGTGCTGCAATGAACAAACAAGAGCAGATGTCACTTCGATTATACTTTTTTGCCTCTCTGGGATATATTCCCAGGAGTGATATTGCTGGGTCAAATGGGAGCTCTATTTCTAAGTTTCTGATAATCGTCCATACTGTTTTCCAAAAGGGCTGAACCAGTCGGCATTCCCACCAGCAGTGAAGGAGGGTCCCTTTCTTGCCACATCTGCGCCAACACAGGTTGCTTTTGTTCATTTGGATGTGGGCCAGTCTCTGTGGTGTGAAGTGATATCTCATTGTTGTTTTGATCTGCATCTCCCTGATGATTAATGATGTAGAGCATTCTCTCATGTGCCTTTTAGCCATTCAGATTTCTTCTTTGAGAAAGTTTCCTTTCATTTCATCACCCCATTTTTTTATGGGGTTGAGTGTTTTCTTCTTGTGGAGTTCAACCAGTACTTTGTATATCCTTGATATCAACTCCTTGTCGGATGTGGATTCGGCGAATATCCTTCTTCGGATCTCCTGCTTGCAATATTGTTGGCGCTGTGGTTTAGACAATATACATTTATCTCACCGCTACACAGTGGGTAAGGCGTTTGCCTTGCACGCAGTCAACATGGCCGACCCGAGTTCAATTCCTCCACCCCTCTCAGAGAGCCCAGCTGGCTACCGAGAGTATCTCTCCCGCACGGCAGAGCCTGGCAAGCTCCCCGTGACGTATTCGATATGCCAGACACAGTAACAACAAAGTCTCCAATGGAGACGTTACTGGACCCGCTCGAGCAAATCGACGATCAACGGGAGGGCCTTTACTTTTACTTTACTTTTTACACCGCTACACTACCAGTAAGCTTAAGAAATCCATTTCAATTGGCAACACTTAAATCAAAAGGTAGTATACTGCCACCTAACTATATTATCTCCATTAAATTCTCTAAATTGGTTATCAATTGATTTTCAAAAAAGCATGTTTGGAGTTTTTGTTGTTGTTTTTGTCTTGGGGCCAGACCTGATGGTGCTCAGGGCTTCCTCTACCTCCACGGACTGTCATGGCCAGCCTCAGGGGACCATATGGAGGGCTGGGGATTAAACACAGGTCAGCTCCGTGCAAGGCAAGTGCCCTACCTGCTCTACCCACTGTACAATTATACCACCACCATCACCACCACCACCCTACACTCAGCCTAAAGTGCTTTTTGAACACATTTTAAAAAATAGTAATCACATAAGAAATTGGTTTTT